GCCTCGGGTCCCTCCGGCGGCAAGGCGGAGGCCAGGGCAGGGCCCGGCCTGCGGACACGCCATGAGGTAGAAATGGGAGTGTGTCACGTTTTGCTGTTGGGGTCGGTCAGAAAGAAACTGACTGACGGCACAAATCCCGATATGTTGCCAGGGGACTCCAGGGGGCACCTAAACCCCAGCTGGTACGCCCCAAAATTTAGATCCCCAAAGAAGAAAGCTCTCCAATGATCCATACGACAACTTTAGCCCAGGCAACAAAAAAAAGCCAACAATTTTTCTCACACCCGTACCCTTAAAGCACTTAATTTTGGAGCAGGGGAAACCAAATTGTGAGCGTGCACGAGAGGGCAATTGATTTCCCTTGGCCTCAGCCTTTGGTACTGCCTCGTGCGAGGTGAACGGTGCGAAGGTTCATCCACCGCGCAGCGGGCTAATACATTAATTTTCCACCATTGGCCGCCAGACAGCAAGTGTTTTGGTCTCTGTCACACCACCCAGCACGAGAACCTGAGAGTCCAGAGGTTTTGTATCGCACCACCAACCCATGCAGTCCTGTAATTGGTAAAGGTATCTTGTTGGGTGATCAGACAAATGTCCTGAGTTTTTACCTGCTAAGCTCCTGCGCTCTGAAGGCCGCCTTTTGCCTCTTTCATAGCGCACACTAACACCAAAATAAAGAAACTGTGTTAGTCCTGTTACTTAAATTTTCTTACTCCTCACGCTTCTGCAGTGTATATTTAGATTATTAGGTTGACTTACGTTTCCTTAAAATGCTCAGGGAAAATTTGAGGGTTCATTTAAGTATTGCAGGCTCATGATCTGTGACAGGCATTTTACAAAGTGTCAGAAAACTTCTCACTTGATAATAACATACTGACAGTCAGGGGAGCGTTCCCTTTTCTAGTGCTAATAATCAGCATTAAGGCATGCCATGGTTCCTACAAGAAATTTGTGATCCTTACAGCTTTAGCTGTCATCTTCCTGTAATAATGGAATGTACTCCAATTTTATGCATATGTATCATTAAAAAATAAAAATAATGGCTCTCAAAACCACCAGCCTCAGTTTTAGAGCTTCTGTTGTGTAGGTGAGTCCAGTGATTCCCGTTAGGGGCCCAGGCTAGTGAAAGGGTTTTTGTTCCCCGCGATGTCTGTCCCCTGCCCCACGCTGTCTCGCGTGCCCCCGGCTCAGCACCATTTGCCCTTTTGTGTGGCACAGCTTTCCCCGGACCTCTGGAGGCCATGGCCAGCCCCTCCCCGTCCTCGGGGCAGTACGGGAGGCAGCGCGGTCCCCACCGCCCCACCTCGAGGGCCTTGCAGGCAGTGTCCACGTACCCACCAGGAGGCAAAGGCCAGCTAAGGAGGAGCCTTCCTCTTCCGTGTCCTGCTTCTCAGGCTATTTCCTTCCTCACTCTCACCGATCACAACAAGCTGAAGGCTTCTCCTTACATCTGGAAGCTATTCCATTTATTTACCCTAGAAATTCAATCCTGAATCCCTGATGACACATCTAGAGGGATGTAAGCTCTCCAAAGACGGCTGTGGAGATGCTGGCCACTGCTGAGCTCCTGCCCACGAACACGCTCTGTATCATGACATAAACTGGCAAAATCATCTACTAGGCAGCAGCACCACCTAACAAGGCTGCTCATTTAATTACCAAATAACACTGAACTAAAGCGGCAGTTAGAGCAGATAACATCTGAAGCAGCATCTCTTTTGCAGGGCCAACAGTAAAGCCTGGGTACCATACCATGCTATTTACAGTGACCAAAGGCACGAACCTGGAGCAGCGCAGCTCCTTGGGCCCTCGGTCAAAGGCACCTGTGCCAGCACCCGCGGCCGGCAAGCAGGAGGGACTGAACTAGGTGAGTGCCAGACTCGGGTGCTGCACACGTCTCCTGACGTGAACAGCCAGAGAAGAGGGAATGATGAACCAGGTGGCAAAACAGCGTTCAGTCTCTCTGCGTGAGGACCCCATGTTTCCACCTGCCACTTGTTATTCTGAACCTTGTGCTGCCACATATTCCTGGGTGAAGGGGGCATAAAGGAGATCTCCTCCCCCCCTTCCAAGAGAACTCTTCTCAGGTATGTCACAGTGGGAAAAGAAGTCTTACTTCAAAAATATTTGATATTCCTGATACTTGAGACTTAACTCACAACTGACAAGGCTGTGACGGTGAATCACATGTTTCTACTAAGACTCTGCAGTCAGGGACTGTACAGACAGGGCTCTTCACTCATGTTTGGCTTTGGCAGGGACACAGATATATATATATTAATGTACATATATATGTTAACAGGACATATATATATATAAACCACTGTAAGTAAGAACTGACAGTGGTGCATACAACAATCTTTGTTGGTTTTCTCAGCACTGCAAGAACACAACTTCAATGCTCCACAGAGACTGGCTGATAATAAAGTAAATAGCATTAGTGGTACAGGTTTTTGGCTACTGTGCCACAGAGCTGTGATTAATAACCACATGTACCCTTGATCATCCCCTATGTTAAGTGAGTCCCATGTCAGCCAGTAATCTGCCTGATATGTAGCCTTGGTATTTCTTGACAATTTATTTTTTACAAATAAATTGGTTTTTATTGAATGAGCCCCAGAAAGCTCCTTCCTGACCTTTTCTTGCTGGTTATGAGGAGTCTGACAGCCTAGTGACATAAAACTGAAGCCTCAAAAGGACTAGTAAGATGCAGACAGCCCCAGTATAAGCAAAGCCCTGCAGCTGAGCTTGAATTCCTTCTGGCAGCCGTACTGAAGGAGAAGTGTTCAGTCTCAGCATCCCCATGCTTTTTCACTCTTTGGGTCTTTTGAGACTCCAAACAAGAGGTCAGTTAATTCAAGTTATGGCAGTTTTCATACAAGACATCTGTCCACCAGGAACTAAACTTCTTTTATATGGGTCACTATAGCTATCAGAAGTTAATGACTATCAATCATCGCTAATCTGAACTGAAATGGAGCCACTGACCTCAAGCTGAAAGAGCCTTTTGTCTCCTGCCAATACCAGTAGCCATATGGTTCCCTGCCCTTTGCCTCTTATTTTATATTTTAAGTAATCATTACTAATTGTACAATTGTTTGAAAATATGGGAGGTTTGTGGCAAGTCATGACCAAGTGGTGTTCTTTTGTCCCTTAGCTCTCACTCAATAGAAGAGAAGGGATCAGCTTAAAATTAAAGGATAAAAAAGCATCTCTCAATTAAATACTAGCCCTGCTATTTGATTATTGGTCCTGCTTCTTAACAGTCTACCAAGTAGACTGTTAACAATCCTGCAGACTGCAATAATTAACAGCTTCCAAAGTGTCAAGGTCATTCCTGTTCTATATGGGAGTAGTAAGAAAATTATATAGGCAAGACACCAATGGAATGTTTTATATTAGGATAAAGGAGTATCTGAGGAACCTACTTATCACAAATCTCTTTTTATTCAGTGGTTTTCATTATTTTATATCAGTTGCATTTTCTCTGGCAAGTTTTCCCTTTACAACAAGTGCTCATATACTGCAAACATTCGATTATAGAGCTTAAGAAAAAACCATTCTTCTCAGACAAATAAACTGCATCACCAGCTATCTTTAGCCACATCTGTTTTCTTTAATGAAACGTATTTTCCTGTAGAAATGCTGCCTTAAAAATCATGACCACGCTAATTATCTATGGCAAGCACATCTTCCTCAACTAACGACAGCTCGAGCATATTATCGTTTGCACCAGACTTCATTCTGAAATTGAAAGACCCATAGAGCTTTGCAGACTCCTTGGAGGACGCAAACCGGCTCCTCCGGTACAGCTCCCCCTTCCACATGGACATCATCAGCAGGCTGGAGAGCACCACTCCCCCCAGGGTTAAGAGACACAGCCCGGCAATAACACAGCGGTCCAAGTGAGCCCCGATCCTAGCGCTCTCGTTCTCCAGCCTCTCCATCTCCCGGGCAGCCACGGTGTTGGGATCCACAGTCACGTCTCTGGGTACCACGTAGGAAATGATCACCAGCAAAATGCCACTAACTAGGAACAAAATGGCACTAATGAACCCGTAGTCCACGGATTTCCCGGCCGCCACCTCCGAGGCAGCATCGTCCTCCTCAGAGACCAGGGAAGGAGAATCGTGCACCCACTCGGGTGGCAGCTCCCTGCAGGAACGCTGCTGCAGAGGGGCATCCTGGCACCGGCCGCCCGCAGGACTGGGGGGACTTCTTGCATGCTCCAGGTTTACATTTTCGTCCACATAGGTGAATGACGTCTCGAGTTCCTGGGCACAGCAGCAGGCTTTCTTCTTCCCTCCATCCTCTTCCCCAGGCAAGCGCTCGGGCGGGTGGCAGGGCTGGGAGGTGCCGGGGGGTGCAGGGTGCTCCCGGGGAGAGGTGCCCGGGGAGGAGGGCTGGGGTGCCGGGGGGGGCTCAGCTGCAACAGGGCCCCTCTGCAAGGGCTTGCAATGCCTTTTGCAGTGCAGGGCTGCCACCGCAGCAGCTGCTCTGGGGTCCACCTCACCTCCCTCACGCTGCTGCTGCTGCTCGTAGGGAGGGGATGGCAGGCTCCAGCCAGCAGCGGTGCCCAGGGGCGCCTGCCTGCCCTCCTCGGCCAGGTAGAGAAGCTCCATGCAAGCCATCGACCTCGTCCTGGCAAGCCCCCGACTCCCGGGCTACCGCATCCTTCAGCAAACGCTGCCCCGACCCGCTGAAGCGGCTTCACAGTACCAGAGCTGCTGTATCTCAGAAATCTTCTACTCTTTCACCAGCGTTTTGTTAGGGACATGGCTTGTGTCAGCTGTTAAATGATTAAACAAATCCTCTCTGACATTCATTTCTTTTCGGTCTGCAAATGAAATAGCAGAAGGGAAAAAAACAACAACAAAACCAAACCCGACAACCTCATGATGATACATTAATAAACCAAAGAGAAGATAACGCAAATGTAATACATCAGTCTTCCTCTCAACTGTTTGAGGGGAGATGGCAAACACGATTGTTTTAACTACGCATTTAAAACTGCAATCCTCTTGCAGATCCAAAATCTATTAGGGAGTCCAATCAACCTTTGACACCAATATCCAATTAAAGCAGTTAAGTCATCGACAGAGCACAGGATAACCGGAATAACTGTGTAAAATGTCAGAGAAAACAGACGTCTATTCTTTTAGAAGCAAGTAACTCCCCCACCCCCTTCCAAATAAAGAATTTTAAACTCAGATGCACAGACTAATTAGAAAGAAACACGCAAATCCCACGTAGCTCAATAATCCAGGATCTGTATTCTCCGGTGGAAATCTGATAATCCTATGGGAAAAGCAGTGCTTTCCTATAGCAGATCTCCAGTTTGATTAAGAGCTTTCGGAATGAAATTATGCCTCAAAGACTGATGACTCAAAGACAGATATTCCTTCTCATCTGCAATTAATTCGTTGTTACCCCCTTCTTCTGCCC